GAGAGGACGCAAGAGGAGGCGGCAGAGGAACACGCAGTGGAACAGAGGAAGGACGAAGTGCCATAGCGTGGGTACCTGGGACAGAAGGAGGACGCGGACGAGGAACGCGACGAGCAGTGCGAACAGGCGAGACATGACGAGACGCAGGCTCACAACGCTCTGTAAGACCTCCGGTCTACTCAGTGTAAGGAGAAGGGGCAGGCAGTGGGGAGGCTGGCGGTAACGGCGGCTGTGACTAGTCAGGCAGTGGACACAGTAAGGGAGGAGTAAGGCCAGTAAAAAACGGGAGTCCAAAAACCTGCTGAAGCAGGGGAACGAAGTACGGTCGCGGTCGCACAGTGCCTCCAGCACCAGTACCGCCAGACACAGCACCCCCAGCTCTAGCACCTCCAGCTCCAAGGTCAATAGCTCCAGTGTCTCCAGCTCCAGCTCCGGCGCCACCAGCGCCAGTGCCTCCACCTCCAGCTCCTCGAGCTCCAGCGCCACTAGTGCTAGTACCTCCAGCTCAAGTGCCTCCAACCCCAGCACCTCCAGGCTCCGAAGGGTCTCCAGCTCCAGCTCCTCCAGCTCCAGCGCCCCCAACACTACCAGTCCCGGCAGCTCCAGTACCCCTAGTACGAGCACCTCCAGGACCAGCCGCTACAGTACCTCCGGTACCGCCAGCTCCAGCAGTAACTCCAGCACCTCCAAGATGAGTAGCTCCAACACCTCCAACTCCAGTGTCACCAGCGGCAGAGTCTCCAGCTCTGGCAGCTCCACTCCGAAGGTGTGTGCGCAAAACAAACCACTCGCGCAGCTGCTGCAAGGAGAGAGGCTCAGGCCGGGGAGACAGTCGTGGCGCAGCACCCACAGGACCTCCAGAAGAAGCAATACCCCGAGGCTCAGCACCCCCAGACTCCGCACCCTCAGACCCAGGACCCCCAGGCTCAACACCCTCAGGCTCAGCACAACCAGGCTCCACACCCGCAGGCTCAGCACCCGCAGGCTCCGCACCCCCAGGCTCCGCACCCCCAGACCCGGCACCCTCAGACTCAGCGCCCCCAGGCTCCGTACCCCCAGACGTAGCACCCCCAGACGCAGCACCTCGAGCAGCACCTGAGTCGCCAGCTACCTTAACAGGCACAGTACCAGGGAGAGGGTCTACCTGAGACACACCTGAGGGAGCAGGACCCTGGGGCGGGAGGGGGTCGACCTGAGGGGGACCGGGAGCAAGGAAGAGCGGCGGGGGCGGGGGAGGGGCAGAGCGGTAGGGGAAGAGATGGTAAAAGGGAACTGACCCGTCAAACGTGACGTCCTGAGAGAGGATGACACGATGCGAGGTGGGGTGGTAGAACTGCCAGCCAGGCGCGTCAGGGGGAAAGCCAAGGAAGACGCAGGGAATAGCGCGGGCGAAGAGCTTGTCTGCGGACGTATCGCGAACAAAGGCACGAGAGCCCCAGACCCAGAACACTGACGCATCGCCAACCTCCCCCGTCCAATGCAGTGTGGGCGAGGTCTCCGGCAAGGAGACACGGGGCCAGAGGTTGAGCTGATGCGTAGCATACCGGACCGCAAACGGCCACAAAAAATGGGGAGCAGCCGCATGGATCATGGAGGTACGAGCGACCTCCATGACTAAGCCAATGCGGCGCTCAGCAATCCCATTTTTCATAGGGGAGGCCGGAAGCGTGAACGTCTGGAGAATGCCCTCCCCACGACAAAAGTCCCGCAAGAGGTCGGAGGAGAAGCACGCCAGGAGTCGCCCGATGACGAAGGCAAGGGCAACAGTCAAGCGGTGAGCAACCCGTTGGACGCGCTCACACGTGACTTCGAAGAGGAAGACAGGCAGCGAGCGGCAGCAGCTCCAGTTGCAGTAATGACGATCAAGATTAAACCCGTCAACCCACCCCCGTTTAATCCTACGGACAAGACGACTACTGTGAAGGGGTGGGTGTTAGGTGTCGAAGTCTTTTTCATTGCAGCAGGTGTGAACGACGATGCCATGCATATTAATTACGCGGTTTCGCTTCTCCGAGGTGCAGCGCTTGAGTGGTGGCGCCGAACCTTGGAAAAGGGGACCCCGACAGGTGTGACACATGCGGCAGACGGGACCTCAACAGTGACTAATCAAGTGGCGGAACCGATCTTCGGAGTGACCAAGATATGCACGTGGAGAGAGCGGGGCGCAGCCTTACAAGATTGCTTCGAGCACGTATCCGCATCGGAGCAAGCTCGCATGAAGCTGCGTGCCTGGTCGCAGATGGCATCTGTCCAAGACTACACAGCGTCATTTATGGGCCTCGCCGACCAAGTGGATGACATGTCGGAAGTAGAGCGGTTGGATAAATATATCAACGGCCTCAAGTACAAGATTCAATACGAGGTTCGCAGGAGCCGCCCGACATCATTCCTAGAAGCAGTACGGCTAGCGGTGTCAACAGATGCGCTGATGAAGTATGCGAGAGCAGCTTCCCAGGAGGGAATCCGCTTTCGTGGCCAGACCCATCGGACCACGATCAACGCCGTCCGTACACCCGACCGCCCTCCTAAGGGACCGTGTTATAAGTGTGGGAAGACGGGTCACTATATGCGCGACTGCCACGAGAAAACGCCGCTGACGGGGAACAACAGGAAGGAGCAGGGAAATGGGAAGAGTCAGTAATTAGAGGGCCCTTTACTGACTGCTCTCCGTCGCCCGAACCCCACCATCCCCACCAAGTCGTGGTTCCGATTCATGCAATTGATCGCACTTGGCCGGATAGCGGGGATAATCATGTGGATCACCCTGTGCTGGTCGCTGGCAAGGTGTTAAAAAATCATTTAAAAATGTTCGTCGATGGAGGGGCCAGCCATAGCCTCTTCAACTTGGCGACAACAAAAAAATGCAAGCTGCAACTTGACAGGTGTCTGCCCGAAATTGACGCTCGCCTCGTGGATGGGACGCCTCTGGCGATATTGGAAGAAACACGCACGGTTCGGATTGAATGCGGCGACGATTTCGGCTTCAGCATGAAGTTCCTCGCGACGACACTGGATGGCTGCGACGTACTGCTGGGACGTGATTGGCTGCGACGGCACAACCCCGTCATCGACTGGACAACGGGATCGTGCAGCATCAACAAGCACGAGGGGCTAATCAAACTGCCTGCATGGACACCTGACTACATCCAAGCCCCGTGCGTCAAAGATATTACTGTAGCTCGCCACTTCAACAAGGGCGCGCAACTGTTCGCTATTTGCTTACGCGAGTTGGCGGTTGACACCGACGGAAAGGACATCGAGAAGTTGTGTGCAGTTGTACCACCGGATTTAGCGGAGCTGATTCGACCGTACCCCGACATCTTCCCCGACGATCTGCCACCTGGACTACCACCCGAGAGACCTGAGGACCACAAATCCAGCTAGAACCTGGCGCGCAGCCGACTGTTCAAACACAGTGGCGGTTGACCCAGCCGGAACTCGAGGAGCTGCGGAGTCAAATTGACGCACTGTTGGAGAAAAGATTCATCCGAGCTAGTACATCTCCCTTCGCAACACCGATCATGTTCACTCCGAAAAAAGACGGCGGGCTTCGCATGTGCATCGACTATCGCGCGCTCAACCGGGTGACAATCAAGTCTCGCTACCCAATCCCACGCACCGACAACCTCCTTGACCAACTTCGCGGCGCTCGCTATTTCTCGAAGATCGACTTACGCGGCGGTTACCACCAAATCCGAGTTTTCGCCGATGATTGCCACAAGACTGCGTTTCGCACCCGCTACAGGAGTTACGAATTCACGGTGATGCCTTTCGACCTCACGAACGCGCCTTCGACCTTTCAGTTAACCATGAACAGGGTTTTTCGGGATCTCCTAGACCGATGCGTCATCGTCTACTTGGACGATATCCTCATTTTTAGCAAGACACGGGAGCAGCATCTCCGCGACCTGGACAGTGTTTAAACGGTTGCAGGAGAATCGCCTCATCACCAAAGGCTCTAAGTGCGAGTTTTTTAAGCAGGAGTTGGAGTTTTTGGGACACATCATCTCCCGCGACGGCATTAAAATCGACCCGGCGAAAATCAAGACCAAACAGGAGTGGAAGTCCCCGACGAACGTCACGGGACTACAGAGTTTTATGGGGTTTGTGAATTACGTCAGGTGGTTTATCCCGAATATGGCGGGGATAACCGGCCCGCTGACCAACCTGCTGCACAAGGACAATAATTTTGTGTGGGGGGAGGAGGCAGAGGCGGCTTTCCAGGAGTTGAAGAATTTCCTTGTTTCCCCTCCTGTGCTGCGCATCGCCGATCGAAGCCGCTCGAAGTCGTCACCGACGCCTCCGATTTCGCCATCAGAGCTGTACTTCTCCAAGATTTCGGGAACGGGCTGCAGCCGATAGCCTACGAGTCACGCAAGCTGCAGGCAGCCGAGCGCAACTACCCGATTCACGACAAGGAGATGCTCGCCATTATACACACCTTTAAACGGTGGCGCTGCTACCTGGTGGGCGCCGACGTCACTGTTCGCACGGACCACAAGTCCCTAAAATACATGCGAGCTCAGCCCAACCTCAACCCTAGACAGATTCGATGGCTGGACTACATGGAGACCCACTTCACCTACCGCATCACGTACAAGAAAGGGGCAAATAACATCGCCGACGCCCTGACCCGACCGACAGTACAATCCGCTGCAGCACTCATTAACCATTTAAACCCATTACTTATGGGACTATTCACCCACGGCTACAATACAGACCCGTTCTCCACGACTGGAAATCATCAGCAAGCCATGACGCAGAAAGGGGATTGTTACCTAAAGGCCGGAACTGTCCGGATTTGGGTTCTCGCTTACCGGCTGCTGCGTGAACTCCTTATCCAAGAGGTCCATGATTCCAACTTCTCCGTATAATTGGTAATAAGATACAGAATCTGCAAACTCCAATGCAGCTCTAAACAGAAAATCGTCCAGTCTAAATGCTAGTTGCATAAAATACTATGGCCTCGAATAATGTTAGACTTCTAATTTCTCTACTTTCTACTTGTCAACAATAGCCTTAAGTCCGAACGGAGACACATATGAAACACTGTTGCTGTGCCACAAAATCCCCGACAGCACTTCGTTAAACGCCTCAGTGGGATTGTACCAGTCCCACCACACGTACTTAGTCGGGTCCTTGCATGCGGTTGCACTGTAGCTCTTGCCGCCCTCTTTCACCGTCTGCCCACATGCTATCAGCTTTCCGCTGGGTGTTTTACCCTCGCAGCAAACAGATGTCTGGTCAATAAAGCCACCTGGTGGTGAGCAAAGGGGAGGGGTGGAGAGCACAGAAGGTATGAGGACGAAGCTAAATGCACAGACGTGTGTGCACACACGCATGTCCACACCCTCTCCCCCAACACACGCACGCACACACACACACACACACACACACACACACACACTCACACACACACACACACACACACACGCATGCACGCGCACACATACTGACACGCACGCACACACACCCACCCATCCGCCCTTCACCTGCAGCGGAGGCCTTGACACAGAACACTCACTCACACATACGCACTCAACCACCCACAACCGCACACAACCGCATTCACACGCACCTGCAGCGGTGCCCTTGACACGGAGTGCAGGCTATGTTTGAACGATATCAAACTGGTCACCCCCTGCTGCGTTAGCTTATCACCCTCACCTCCGTATTTGTGCTGGTCGGCTATCTTGTTGCTCGCTGCCTCATACACATGCACACAACCGCACAAAACCGCACACAACTCCACCCAATAGCCCCCCACCTGCAGCGGTGGCCTTGACTCGATACACAGTGCTCTGCTTGAAGAGAATCAGGTTGGTCACGGCCTGGTTTCACTCCCACACGGTGTGGGTGTGCCCACACACCCCAACCCACCCACCCCAACCCACCCACTCCACCCACCCACTCCACCCACCCACCCACCCACTCCACCCACCCACCCACCCACTCCACCCACCCACCCACCCACCCACCCACCCACCAAACCCTTACCTGCAGTGGTGCCCTTGACTCGATACACAGTGCTCTGTTTAAACAGAATCAGGTTGGTCACCCCCTGCTTCCTCAGCTTCTCCAGTTTCACCCGCACGCCCGTGTTGTGCTGGTCGGCTATCTTATTCGCTGCCGCGTCACACTGCCCTGCAGGGGTCTTCTTGAAGTAACGAACGGCTGGGATGCACCCAAGGGGGGGAACGTCGAATACAACGATCTTGGTGGTCTTGGTCATTGCATTGAGGTCCTGGGATGGGGAAAGGGGAGAGGGGGTGAGGACAGGGGGGGTGGGTGCATGTGCCCCAAGGAGGAAGGGAGGGGGTCTTCTTGAAATAACGTACAGCTGGGATGCACCCGAGAGGGGGAAGACCACGATCTTGGTGGTCTTGGTCATGGCGTTGAGATCCTGGTGAGGAATTGGGTGGGGGATGGGGAGGGAGGTGAGGTGAGTGCAAATGCCCCAAGGGGGTGAGGAGGGGGTCTTCTTGAAGTAACGAACAGCAGGGATGCACCCGAGAGGCAGCACGTCGAACACCACGATCTTGGTGGTTTTAGTCATTGCGTTGAGGTCCTGGGATGGGGAGACATGGGGGTCAGGGAGAGATGAGGTGAGTGCACATGCCCCGCAGGTGGGTGCCCTGCCCGTCCCACTGACTCCCATTGACTCACATTGACTCCCATTGACTCCCATTGACTCCTGTTGACTCCCCTTGACTCCTGTTGACTCCAGTTAACTCGCGTTGACTTCTCTTGACTCACCTCCACAGCTTTGACTATCGCCACTGTCGTCGCCGACAACACCTGCTCCACGCTCTGCCCGTCCCACTGCTGCAGCTCACATTGACTCCCATTGACTCCCGCTGACTACCATTGACTCCCGTTGACTCCCATTGTCTCCCGCTGACCACCATTGACTCCCGTTGACTACCATTGACTCCCGTTGACTTCTCTTGACTCACCTGCACTGCTTTGACTATCGCTCCTGTAGTAGCAGACAACACCTGCTCCACGCTCTGCCCGTCCGACTGCCCGAGAAGTGCCAGCACGTAATCGTTGGTTCCCGCGCTGATCATAATCAGTGATTGGTCAAGCATCTGGGAAGAGTGGAACAGGAAAGGGGAGGGGCGGGGGGGAGGGGAAACAAAAGGAACAGGGAGAGAGGGGATGAGCGCCTGGGAATGAGAATCGCCGACACGTAGTTGTTGGTTCCCGCACTGATCATAATCAGTGATTGATCCAGCATCTGGGAAATGTAAAACAGGAAAGGAGGGGTGGAGGGAGGGAGGGGGGGGGGAGAGGGAGGGAACAACAGGGATAGGAGGGAGTGGGGATGAGGGCCGAAAAGAGAATGGCTGACGCGTAGTCGTTGGTTCCGGTGCAGATCAGAATCAGTGATTGGTCAAGCATTTGGGAAAGAAGAAAGGGAGGGGTGAGCAAGGGAATCTAGGAGTGTATGGAAGGGTATTCATCTTACCGCCTGCCATTTCATCTCACCAGCAGCCATCACATTGCACTACCTGACGTTTCATCCCACCACCTGCAGTTTCATCTCACTGCCTACCGTTTCATATCACCACCTGGCGTGTCATCTCACTACCTTCCGTTTCATCTCACCACCTGCTGTTTCATCACCACCTGCCGTTTCATCTCAACACCCGCCGTTTCATCTCACCACTTGCGGGTTGTTCTTGCGCTTGTCCTTGTACTCCTGCATGTACGCTATCTGGGTTTGGAGACTGCGAGTCTGAAGAGGAACGGGGAAGGGGGAATGGGGATGGAAACGGGTGGAATGGGGTGAGAAGGGGTGATGAAGCGTCGGGTTGTTCTTGCGTTTGTGCTTGTATGTATGCTATCTGGGTCTGAAGGCTGCAAGTCTGGAGAGGAATGGGGATCGATGGGAAGGGATGGGAAGGGATGGAAAGCGGTGATGAAACGTTGGGTTGTTTTGCATTTATCCTTGTACTCCTGCATGTACGCTATCTGGGTCTGCAGGCTGCGCGTCTGAAAAGGGAGGGGACGGGGAGGGATCGGAAGGAGTGCAAAAGGGTGAGATGAAGCGTTGGGCTGTTCTTGCGCTTGTCCTTATACTCCTGCATGTACGCTATCTGGGTCTGGAGACTGCGGGTCTGCAAGTGGTAGGGATGGGAAGGGGTGCAAAGGGGTGAGAAGGGGTGAGAAGGAGTGAGTTGAGGGTGAAGGCTTGTCCTTGTACTCCTGCATGTACGCTATCTGGGTCTGCAAGCTATGGGTCTGGAGAGGAATGGGGACGGGGGAAAGGGGATGGAAACGGGTGGAATGGGATGGGAAGCGGTGATGAAACGGCGGGTCGTTCTTGCGCTTGTCCTTGTACTCCTGCATGTACGCTATCTGGGTCTGCAGGCTGCGGGTCTGAAAAGGGAGGGATGGGAAGGGGTGCAAAAGGGTGAGAAGAGGTGATGAAGCTTCGAGTTGCGCTTGTCCTTGTGCTCCTGCATGCACGCTATCTGCGTCTTCAGGCTGCGCGTTTGCAAAGGGAAGGGATGTGGGAAGGGGTTGAGAAGGGATGGGAAGGGGTGGGAAGAGGTGGGAAGGGGTGATGAAGCCTTGAGACTCAAGCTGTGGAGAAGGCGTGTCCTTGCACTCTCACGCATGTACGCTATCTGCGTCAGGCAGCGCGTTTAGAGTAGTTGCGGAGAGAGGGGAAGGAGAGGGCCGATGGGAGCCAGAGGAAGGGAGGGTGGAGAGCGGATAACAGTGGTGAAGGCGTGTCCTTGCACTCTCACGCATGTACGCTATCTGCGCCAGGCAGCGCGTCTGTCGCTCACTGCGTCTTTCTCCCTCGCTATAGCCACACTATTACCGCTTCCACTCATTACAGTCACTCTCGCACGCACCTTCCCCCTCCTTACAGTCACACTCTCGCACGCACCTTCCCTGCATACACCCAGTTTCGGGCGCCAGCCGCGGCAGTCGCGAAGCTCGTTCCCTGCTTCGACACGAGCGGCTTGCGATGGTACGCGAAGAGGCTCGGCAGGCCCAGGCGGAACGCTGAAGGGGGGATGTGGGGGAGCGGGAAAGAGAAAATGGGGCCCGGGAGGGAAGAAAGTTTGAGTCCCGTCGGAGCTTCGACACGAGCGGCTTGCGATGGTACGCGAAGAGGCTCGGCAGGCCCAGGCGGAACGCTGAAGGGGGGATGTGGGGGAGGGGGAAAGAGAAAATGGGGTCCGGGAGGGGAGAAAGTTTGAGTCCCGTCGGAGCTTCGACACGAGCGGCTTGCGATGGTACGCGAAGAGGCTCGGCAGGCCCAGGCGGAACGCTGAAGGGGGGATGTGGGGGAGCGGGAAAGAGAAAATGGGGCCCGGGAGGGGAGAAAGTTTGAGTCCCGTCGGAGCTTCGACACGAGCGGCTTGCGATGGTACGCGAAGAGGCTCGGCAGACTCAGGCGGAACGCTGAAGGGGGGATTGGGGGGACGGGGAGACATGGGGAATGGGGAGGAATAGGGGGGTGTGGGGGAGTGGGGGTGAGTCGCATACGAGCGTCGACACGAGCGGCTTGCAGTGGTACGCGAACAGGCTCGGCAGACCCAGGCGGAACGCTGAAGGGGGGATGTGGGGGAGGGGGGAGGGGGAAATGGAGGCCGGGAGGGGGGAGAGAAAAGGTGAGTCACGTCGGAGCTTCAGCACGAGCGGCTTGCGATGGTACGCGAAGAGGATCGGCAGACCCGGACGGGAACGCTTGAGAGCGGGGAGGGAAGGGGGGGAAAGGAAGGCGGGGGTGAAGGGAGGGGGAGGGGGAAGAGTGGGGGATGGGGTAATTGTGAAAATTGGGTATGGGAAAGGTGGGGAAATGACGAAAAGTGCGGCGGCGGCCGTCAAGAGCGGCGAAAATTGCGGCTCACGCCCGAGCCGAGCACTGGCTACAGTCACGCTTGTACAACCGCTCTCTAATTAGTCACTCACTGATAAAGTCAAGTACGAGACGACCGTTGCTGAAGCGGCCCGATATCTTGCCCCAATCTTGGCCGTAAGGCGGCGCGGTGGCCTTCCAGATGGACTGGCTGAAGAAGCGGCTCATGCCCGTGTCGAATGCCTGATCGCCGAACGCGAAAACCTGCCTGATCTTCCCCGCGAATGCTGGCGACGCGGCGAGCGTCGCGAATGTGATTGTAACGAGCGCGAGGACGGCGGGTGGGCGGCGGCTGTTGCTCCTAAACGGCCCCATGGCTTTTAATTAAAGTATACTCTCAGGTCTCAGGTGGTACTCAGGTGGATGCTTAGGCGTATTTTCGGGTGTATTCTCAGGAATAACTGACGTTTTTATGTATCATCGACTCACGGCCTGGTTTCTCTGAGCGGTTCACGGCGATTCTTTGGCGACTCTCTGTCCCTTCAGCGCGAGTCGCGCAACCCTTCAAAGATATTTTTCGTTTTCAAGAACTACGCGAGGTGGACCAGGACAACGCTGGATTATTGTATAGCGAGGCGTCGGGCCAGTATCGCAGTGCTCGCGCTTACTAGTCTAAAGTAATACGTCTTACAAGGTCAAGAACGGCTTCAACGGAGAGCTCTGCGGTTTTCCTTCGAATGACTTCTTGAAGTAGGCTGGCATGGGGAAGAAAGCGAGGGAGGCTGGAGAAAGGCTGTACGGAGGGAGAGAAGGAATATTTCAGGTAGGTTAGGTTGGTTTCAAATGGTTTGAGATGGGTAGGTTTGGCAGCTAGCGAGTATTGGTAGAAGGCAAGGTTCATTGGCGGATGGCGTACCTTCCTTGCGATGCGATGCGACTCCAGAGTGTAGAAACCACTAACTGTCATCCAGCTCTTTGGCCGACATGAGAAAACTAGCAGTGACGGTCTGCTTCCGGAGAGTGTAGAAACTGCGAAAGTCGCCCAAATTTGTGATGGGTAATCGGGCGAAAATTCCACAAAACGTCGAATTCAATCACACTTAGCCGTGGATTATTGTTTAGCTGTGCTTACCGTTACACGCAGTGTGTTCCAAAATCATTTCGTGACTGTAGTGTAACCTCTCTGGAAAAAGGGGGTCGCAGACGCAAACTTCCCTCCCACCCGCCATCCCTCAGTTTTCCACATGAGCCACGCTGCGCATTTGTTCATTCACCTGCGATACGACCGAAATCATACACGTGGATTGGCGGCTGAATGTGGACAAACGTCAAAACATGGGGTGATGATGCTGCCGACATCCGATAAAGGAGCCATTGTGTTGTTTGGGTTGAACAGAAATACTTTTGGAAAAAAAACAGAATATGTTTCTGTGTATCTAACACAATGATCAGAGTGTTGTTGCAAAACGAATCTGTAACGTCAACGCGTACGATCCGTGGCCTAGATTTGCCTAGAGCATGAATACTGCGCCTAACCACCTGGAGGCAGTTCGCACGAAACTCTGACGTTTCTAGTCCCCACCTTTACGGTATACAGCTCCCTGTTCGCCTTCTCGGCTAAAAGCGATACTGCTTCAGTATCCGCGTTATACCACTTCTCGACAAGGCCGACGCGCTGATTACGTTACTAGGATGGGGGAAAACTCGTCCTCGACAGACGCAGAACGGCCTCGCTCAACGCCGCCGCTAGCGCCGGGATCGGCGGTGGTAACGGAAGTATTATCTGCAGCGCGTGACCGTTGTTATAAGGCACGTCTAGTTTTTAACTTCTTTCAAACAGCATCAGCACGCACTTGCACAACTCTCGCAACGGCAACCCGTTTTAATTCTCCTCTTAACCTCCAGGCACGGTGATGCGTTGTACGCATGCGTAGAATCAGCAGCGGCATGGAGGTGATCTTTTAAGCGCCTGAAAAATCACCTCAATGCACGCGGGTTTTTTAGGCGCCTCAGAAATCACCTCTGTGATGCGTACTGCGCATGCGTAGAATCAGCAGCGGCACCTGTGCGATTGTTCTTCTCTTTGTATTCTTTTGCCGATGCTAGAAACTTTTCTCCCCCGCTATGGACTTGCAACGGCACCCCCTTCTTTTGTTCTCCTGTTCAGCCGCATCAGCTGCGAAGTCACATCTTTGAATCAAAATCAACTCAATTCTCGGCCCCTCCCTCGACCCCCCCTCCCTTTCCCCACCCCTCCGTCATGCAGGCGCGGGATGCGATGTATGCATGCGTGGAAGCAGCAGCACCAGCTGCATTGTAATCGGACTCAATCCCATCCCCTCCCCCCCCACCCGCACTCTCCCCTCCCCCCCTCCCCCCTTCCCCTTCCCGCCACCTCCGTCATGCAGGCGCGGGATGCGTTCTATGCATGCGTGGAAGCAGCAGCACCAGTTGCGCAATATTACCTTAGAATCAACTCAATCCTCTCCTCCTCGCTTCCCGTGCTCCCTCCCTTCCCCCTGCTCCCGTCCTGCAGGCACGGGATGCGTTCTATGCATGTGTGGAAGCAGCAGCACCAGCTACTGAGGCAGAGGCCGCAGCTCCTGCTGCCCCCCGGGAGCAACCGGGAGGAGAAGCAGCAGCAGGAGCAGCAGCGGCGCCTCATTCTGCGACGTTCCCTTTCTTTGCCCTACCACCCTGTCCTCACAGGCTCGGGATGCGTTCTATGCATGCGTGGAAGCAGCAGCACCAGCTGCGGAGGCAGAGGCTGCAGCTCCTGCTGCTGCCCCACGGGAGCAACCAGCAGGAGAAGCAGCAGCAGGAGCAGGCAACAGCAGCCTGGCCAACAGCACACTACCACCACCATCCACATCACCTTCGTCACCCGCATCACCCTCCTCACGACGATCGCAGTCAAAGGCCCTCGAGTACCCCCCTTGCTGCCAGTCCGCTCGTTCGCTCTACGAGAAGTCCTGCCGGCCTGCCTGGGTGCGTTGCATGCCCCTTGCACCCAGTCTACCCAGCATACCGTATCTACACAACCTACCCAGTCTACACAAGCTACCCAGTCTACCCAATCTTCCCAATCTACCCTTCTGGTTTTGCAGAACCCACCTCCCCGTGTGCCGCTCAGAGCTATTTGTAGGCTATTCCTGCTCAGAGAGTGCGCGAACTTCCTTCCTTGCTATTATTTCTTCCTTGCATCCTTGCTTCCTTGCTTCTTTGTTTCCTGTCCCGTGTGTCTTGTTCTTAAAATGCTGCCCCATCTCTGGCCAGCTTGATATTGGCCAATTGAACCTGACCAGCTTGCAACTGATATATATTCGTTGCCCTTGGCAGGTTTTGCACTTCGATCGCCTGTACGTAGCAGAGAGAAACATGAAAAGCGTTGTAGGATCTTCTAGAGTGCAAATGTTTGGTGCGCTTTGAATGGTTACTGCTGGAACATGGTAGCACCTTTGAACAAGTTACATTGCAAACCCTGTGGATCCCTCTCACATATTAAAGTTCGTCATTCATGTATTTACTGAACAGCATCAGCGAAACATAGTTCTAATCACCTTGCTCGGAAAAGAAATCACATATTTTGTAGGATATTGGATGTATGGTACTTCCAGGCGGTTATATGATATTTTAGTGTAGAGCCATCTAACCCATTTCATTACAGACCTGCAACAAAATCCGCTGGCAACCCATGGCCACCTCACTGCATTGTGTTTTCTGCGAAAGTGAGCCACCCTCGCGAGAATCAGTCGCACGCCAACATGCTGCTTGCACACCGTCGCAATACTTTCCGAATATCGACGAATTCTTATTGCGAGCGGGTCACTCACTTCTTTCTTTTCGTGAGCTCACATCTCGACATAGCACTTGGCTCAAGCTGCCTGGCCCATCCCCCCATCCCATCCCACACTTCACCCATGGGTTTGCACGAATTTGCCCACCCTTTCCACACATGGCGACTCGAATCGCATCACAATTCTGCCTGCAGCAGCTGGCAAACGCGCGGCGAGATTCATCCACTTTGCCCCAGCTTTCCCGTTCCGATCCCTATCTCCTTGCCCTTCCCTGCTGCCATGACAATGCGCCCTCCCCATCTTGAATTCCGATCACGCGTCCCGCCATGGGAAGCGCATTGCCGCTGCCCATGAGTCCACGGACCACGATCAACCCTTCCCAAGTGCGACCAATGACCCAGTTCACTTGGAATAACAATCATCTCCTTACTACTAAAGCGCTTGCAGGTTCAATTTCATAATATCATCGGAACCAGCAACTGAGTATCTTATATTCCATACTCGCGTTGCCTTTCAGCAGTCCATTCTACTGCTCTCCGCTTCAGAACATTCAACTTCAATCTCGGATCGAAAGACTTGAAGCCTGTCGATTAATATCCTTTCACCTAGTCATCGAAAGAGAGCCACTGTCACAATGGCGAAGTCCTTCGCTACAGTCACTCTCGTGCTTGTCGCACTACTGTCCATCCATCTCGCCCGCGCGTCGTCCACAGTCGACGACGCCAAGAAGAGTAGCTCCGATACAAGCACCTCCGATACAAGCAAATCGTCTGCAAGCACCGTGGGACCACCGCAGGTGTTCGCGTTCGGAGACCAGTACCTGGACACGGGCATGACGAACCACCTCGAGTCTGCCGGATGGAAGGCTGACGTGGAGCCGTACGGCATCGGCTTCAAGGCAGCTCCGGGCCGGTTCTGCAACGGCCGACTCACGATCGACCTCATCAGTGAGTGCATGCATCCCTGCTTCCGTTAGAATCGTCGCTGGTCTTCCGCCTGGTATCTTCTCGCCACGTCCGCGCCCATCTTTTCCTCTTCATCGCTTTCGTCACACTCGTCATTCGTCGCAGCCGAGTCTAAGTCGCCGGTTTCATAAACACTTACACAGATGTCGTAGACGGTATCTGAGAACTCGCTCCCTCTCTGTTCCCTTCCCCTCACTCACCAGCCGAGGACATGGGAAGCGACTACCTGATGCCCTACATCACCAAGTCGCTCGTCTCCAAACAAGGCACCAGCTTTGCCACTGCAGGTGCCGGCACCAAGCCCTGGATCTACAGCAACCAGGTGAGCCCGCGTTCCTCTCTGTCTTTTAAGGCGACTCATTGAGCGTTCCTCTCAGACGAGACTAGCTTCCCCATCGCTTTTTCTTGCGACATTCTTTTCACTATTTCCATATCTTCACGCCGCTCAGCTTTTCAGCACAAACCTTTCTCGCTTCACTCATCGCTGGCGCCACTGCCTTGCCGTTCCCATCGTCGTATCCCTCCGTCTCATTATTCTCCTGCTTGCCTTGATTTCCGTGCACCGGAACAGACGTGGAGTCTGCAGCATCAGCTGGAGTTTTTCAGTCAGTAC